AAACTTCGTAGCGTCAGCAGGTAGCGGGTTTCGGCCGCACGGGCCTTCGACGGGTGTCTTTGGGCATAAGGCTATAAGACGGCCGTGAAGCGCCCGAAAGAAAGGCCGTAAAACACCGTCCGCCACACAGAAAGACAGATGCCTGACAGTAAAGTCAGGCCTTTCTCAGACACAGCTTCGGGAAGGGGCGCGAGGCCGGAAATAGTTGGTACCACAAAGCTTCGACACAAGTTTTTGCGAGTACGGCGAAAATCGTCGCATGATTCCAGACATCGAGTGCAGAGATTCGAATGCGGAACCCTTCGTGCCCGCACATGTCCCCACTTTCACTGCATCTCATGGACCTTTGGAGCGCCGTGTCAGCAAAGCCACATGTTGTGTGGTTCCAATTTATGTGTGGCCGGGGCAAAATCCATGCCCGGAAAGCGAGAGGGCCATGCCAGGCCAGTCCTTTGGCTCACAAGACTGCAGTATCATTTCGTATCCCTGCTGCAAAATTGCTTCGAGTGGGCCTCTGTGGGCCATGCACCAAGCAAGCAAGTCAAACGAAACAACTTTGTTCATTTGAAGTACAAGCAAAGTTCGGTCCGGGCAGCTCCATATGCCTGAGAAGCATGTTAACTGTTGGTTGTGTCAAACATTTCTTTCAGAGTGCCTTGAGGGATGGTGGTTGAACATGTCGTTTCGGGTTCAACGCCAGTGGCGCTGTAGGCAAAAGACTCGTGTGAAGCTGCGCGGGCTGGACCCGCGCAGCTGGAGCCGACATGTGAAGCCAGCGACCGTGCCATGCAGTCATCTAGGTGGGTAGAGATCTTGCGCTAAGGTGTAAGCCGTGCCATATTTTAGGGTGTGTGGCTTCATGCAATCCCGGACTTGCGAAAAGAGCGGCCCAGGCTGGCTTGGGGATTCCTTGGCAATGAGCTGAAGCTGCCAGACATTTCCCCATGCCAATCCAATCACTGTGCTGGGGGAGCTAAAAGTTTGAAGTTTCAAGTCCTGCAGGTAGAATTCCTGCAGGTAGAATATTCCAGACATCGAGTGCAGAGATTCGAATGCGGAACCCTTCGTGCCCGCACATGTCCCCACTTTCACTGCATCTCATGGACCTTTGGAGCGCCGTGTCAGCAAAGCCACATGTTGTGTGGTTCCAATTTATGTGTGGCCGGGGCAAAATCCATGCCCGGAAAGCGAGAGGGCCATGCCAGGCCAGTCCCTTGGCTCACAAGACTGCAGTACCATTTCGTATCCCTGCTGCAAAATTGCTTCGAGTGGGCCTCTGTGGGCCATGCACCAAGCAAGCAAGTCAAACGAAACAACTTTGTTCATTTGAAGTACAAGCAAAGTTCGGTCCGGGCAGCTCCATATGCCTGAGAAGCATGTTAACTGTTGGTTGTGTCAAACATTTCTTTCAGAGTGCCTTGAGGGATGGTGGTTGAACATGTCGTTTCGGGTTCAACGCCAGTGGCGCTGTAGGCAAAAGACTCGTGTGAAGCTGCGCGGGCTGGGAGCCGACATGTGAAGCCAGCGACCGTGCCATGCAGTCATCTAGGTGGGTAGAGATCTTGTGCTAAGGTGTAAGCCGTGCCATATTTTAGGGTGTGTGGCTTCATGCAATCCCGGACTTGCGAGAAGAGCGGCCCAGGCTGGCTTGGCAATCACTGTGCTGGGGGAGCTAAAAGTTTGAAGTTTCAAGTCCTGCAGGTAGAATTCCCAAAGTCCCAAATTGCTCACGACATCTCGATCGTGCTGTGGTGCAACTTGTTTCGTAGCTCTCCTAGGTATTGCTTGCATCGGTGAATCAACAAGTCTCACGTATGCCTTTGCATCCAGAATGATTCGGCCAAACCAAATCACTAGCAAAGGATTGGCCGAATCCTGCACACTTCTCCAAAGCAGGATCCGGTAACTGGAGGGCACTTTCATGTGAGCCAGGGTCAATCTTCTTCGGGCTCGTCAGGTCCTCATGTTCCTGGCTGTGGCAATTTGGTGACCCAACACGCAATGTGCGACTCGTTCGATGTGATGCCGAACTGATTCAGTAAGCCGCTTGGGCTTCACCAGTCAGCCTGCCAAGCGGCCCTTCTTGACTTGGTGACCCAAGTCAAGGGACAAGCCCTAGTGAGCATACCCAAGACTCGCGCGTTCGTAAGGTAATTCGAGATGCTCAGCTGCCCTTCTGCAGGAATTTCCATGGAGCAGCAAAACATACCGTTCCGATCGCCGGTTGCGGCTCGGCTTGCTTGCAGAGGCAAGGAGCCAATTGACCCAGGTCAGTGACCCAAGTTGCAGACAGCAAGTGTTTCCTTTGTGCACTTGCGATGTAGCTTTAGCAGTTCCAAAGTAACAGTTCCTTGTCACCCACTACTAATTTATCATCCCTGCGCGACACATCTTGGTGTCCCGGAAGCAGCTGCTGCCATTTTGCCACGATGCCATTGGAGCCTGCGCCAAATCCGTGTTCACCTGAGTGGCGTTGCTTTTTCCCGCTCAAGCAAAATGTCCAGAGGTGAACATATCAACAAACCAGGTAGCACCACACTGCAGCCGCAGAAGGTTCGGGATGGTTTTTGCCCGCAGAAGCTCGTGGAAGGGACGTGGTTGATTTGCTCTTTCCGGAGTTACATTTGCTCTTACTAGAGTTGCTAGCAGATCGTGCGCACGAATTCCCTCGCGGACATTACCTTCCTCAAGTTCCAGAAGCAACTTGTCCGCAAAAGGCTCGTGGAAGCACTTTTTAATAGAAGCTTGCTCGCGGAAGGTACCCTTCACACCGCGGAAGCTTGGTTGAAGGTTTCGCGGAAGGGGTCCATACCTGGACCTTCCAACATGTAAAATTAACGCCGTTTCCCAAAACAGCAATAATTTTCGCCGGTTGCTGAACAAAACGCTCTTTCGGAGAAAAAGCGCTCGCCGTGAGTCCAGCTCGGAACCAGGCAAAAAACAACGCCGTCTCGCCGGCAAATTACGCCGTTTTGACGGCAAATTACGCCGTTTTGACGGCACATTACGCCGTTTTGCAATTTTGATTGATGCTAGAGTGTGCAAACACTGAAAACTGCCGGCAGGCGAAAATAATCGCCGTTGGGTCAAAAAACATAGTTTTTGACAAAACAGCAATAATTTTGCACATGTTGGAAGACCCAGGTATGTCCAATCACACCGCTCACCTGCCAAGGTCTTAGCGTGATTTTCCCGGTTCCATTGGCCTTTGGCATGTTTTTGCTGCCAAGGCTTCATGCCACTCAAGCACATGGCTTTGTGCGCGCGAAAACACGCAGGTGCCATGACGCGCCTCTCCGAGATGTTCTGCAAAAGTGCTGTCGACATGTGGCTTGTGCCACCGAACCCTGCTGTATTCACCTGTCGCCCGTGTGCGTGGCGCGGACCGTGGCGCCACTGCAACACCAGGGCATCAGAATCGTGGTAGAGTTTTCGAACCGGAAAGGTGGCAGCGCGCCGCGCAAGTGCAGATCAAGAGCCTGCGCGCGCCGCTGTTGAGGGCTCTTCCTGAGCAGAGATGACACACATTTCTGGTGGATGTACCTGCACAGACTCATTTGACATGTCCTACGGCCAGAGATATGCTATTTAAGGCTTGTGTCATGCGAGCCGTTGCTTTCCGTTCACAGGCCGGTCCAGAGGGGCGGTCTTTGGAAAAAGCAATAGTGCAGTAGATAGCTGCGACTTCTGGAGGGTACTCCGACTGGCAGCGTCTTGCTCAGATGCCCGGGAGGGGCGGCCAGGCGGCACGGTCCGGCGCGATCTTCCGTCCATGTTCCGCCAAGGTTCAGCCCTTTCCCGCTCCATCCAACTTGGGTTCCAGGCACGATGCCCCATGTGGCCAATATGCGGTTGAACCCTATGCCTTTCAGGTAGGGCAGTGCCACATGGACAAGGGGAAAGCGCGGAGACAATACAAGTGTTCCTCGCTGACATCACGTAGTCCTTTCCAAGAATGAGCCGTCTGCAATGCAGAGGGCAACAACCACAGCAATGTGGTCATGAACAGCAACCAAGAAAGCTCAGGCAACAGGGCTATTCCGAACTTCCCCGTCCTGACTTTGGGGGGCTGATTCGATAAGAGTCGGCCCCAAACCCCGGAAACCTTTCGGGGTCCCGGGCCTTTTCGGGCCCGAAACACCTGGAACCAATCAGTTGGAGAGCTCCAAGTCCCAGGTGATGATTTCAGTTGGACAGTTGGTGACAGATGGAATGCAGCAATGGGAGCAATCGGAGCAATCGGAGCCAGAGTGACTCAGATTTGTGTCGAATGAAAAGGCTTCGGGGATGCTTTGAACCAGCGAGTTTGCGTGCCTCGCGCCTCAGCTTTCCGCAACTCTTGACCTGAAAGCTTGCAGATCCCATCGTGTCCGGGGAGTCAGCTGCCGCACTTACCCAACTCTCAGATCCCGGCGGATCGCCAGAGGCGTGTTTTGCAGACGGGACTGAGCGCACCGGCCAGCAAGCCGAGCACCCGCATGTGGGCTAAAGAGATCTACTCGTTACAAGTCTCCAAAGAAGCAGATTGCGGATTATGCAGCTCGCGGATTGGACTGTGCGCTTTCCGGATTACGGATTTTGGGTTGCATGGGTTTTCAATGCTCCAGCATAAGGTTTCAAATCACACTTTGCAGCGCGGATTGCGGATGAAGAAGCAACCAGAACAAGGATTGAGCGAAGCTCGCGTCCGTGCAGCCTTCCATCATTCCATTTGTCGGCAACACTTCGCTGGCTTAGGCGCAAGGGTGGAGCAAACCCGCCGAGTGAGCCATGCAGTGTGAAGGGCGCGATGCCTGGACGAGCAGATACGCCAAGGAGATAGCTATGGCTTGCGGCCCCGGCTGGTCGACCGGTCGGAGCGCTTCTTTCCGGAGAGTTTCTGCTATCGCTTGGGCTTGCAGCAAGTCCAAGTTGCATTTGGCGCAGCGTTCCTGCCGGCAAGTGAGCTTCCAGCCCATTCAAGTTGAAAGACCCAAGGTTTGCAGCAAGGGATTCTTTCGCTAAAAGGTGCCTGGGCTTTCGTGCGAGGATAGCCTGCACAAAATGCGTGGCGCAGAGCAGTCTGTGGCTCTGGCACGATTGCCGGCCACTCTTTGAGTTGAGGTCGAGCGCAAATCAGCTGGTTGCCCTCCGCTCTCAGAAGCAGCGCGCTTCAGGTTGCCACTGCACTGCGCTCTGTGCAAAAGCCGCTGCCCCGCTCGGAGTTTCTTGTCAGGTTGGCCTTGACTGGTCGAAGCGCCGTGCTGCATAACAACATGCGCAGGGGTGCTGCGGGGAAAGTCGAAAGCGATGCGATGCAGTCCGTCCGGTTTGGCCATGGTTTGAGGAGGGCTTGGCTCAAAATCCTGAACGCACAAGATCCCTATTTTCGAGCCACTCGCATGTTGCCTGGCCTGTAAGCAGTGGGAAGACTGCGTGGGAAGTACTTCAGGAACATCCGGCTCGAAGAGAGAGAGAAGTTGCGTGGTGAAGGTTCGAGGTTCTGCATTCAGGGCTACAGGGATGCATGTTGGCCAGTCCAAGCATTAAACCTTTTCCACCAGATCAAAGGAAACCGCCATATTGAGGGCTGAGCTGTTTGCGCAGACAGTAAAAGTATATTTGCCGAAGACTGGCCTGTCTCTTAAAAGACCGATGCGCCCGGAAGGCAACTCTGCCAGCATTTGGAGTTTGGCCTGGCATCTTTGACCTGGAAGTTCAGAAAGGGCTTGGAGGTATTGCGTTTGCCGGCAAAGTTTGGCAGCATGGATGTCAATGGTCAGTGCGATCCGCTCTTGACATGGCCGCAATCTATCAGAGCTTCTCCTGCCACATTGATCTTCTTGAAGTGAGATGTGCGCATTTGGCACGGTCGTTGCCAGTCTCATTGTGGCCGTCCGAAAACCAGGGGTGAGCTTGTGCCCGGTCTATGGCTGATGTCTGGCCAGCTGCAAGTTGACGCCTGTGGCTTTGCCAGGATCCAAAAGTGGGCGGTCTCAGTTTGTAATGTTGACCCAGGATTAATAAAGCCGTCCCATTATTAGGGGGGGTTCCCTCCAAAAGCGATGAATCACTAATAAAAGGGGACACCCCCCCTATTAATCAAGCAGGGGTTTATTAATCCGGGGTTAAGATTACACCGCCCGCAGGCGCATGATATCTGATAGCTGGTGTCTTTTTGTCCATGCATACATCAAAAATACACGCGCGCAGGCTGACTGAAAGCCCTCGATGCACTCTGGAGGCGGGGCAGGGCGGGTGGTTTTTTGTTTTGCTGTGAGCCGCCACTTCTCGATGGCATCACCACTACGTGATTTCGTTGCCAGCCTGCCAGCCTGCCAGCCAGTGACAGCTACCCCACAACCGATGAGTTTTAGCAGTTGGAACTAGTTGGAACACCCTCGGAATGGTTGGCAGTGGACATAGACGCATGCATTTACCTTGTCCACCAAAGGGTCTTTTAAAGTTCATCCTCACGATGCTTGCCACTTCCCGAGGGTGGGATAGAGCCGCTTGACAGCCAATTGAGAAGACCTGATGGGGACGACGTGACCACTTTCTAGGCTGCGGCATCGGCAGGTTTGTGGGAAGGACAGCTTGCTTGGCCCAAGAGCAACTATGACATGACCAGTTGAGTTTGACGCATTTGGGGTGCTGAGCAATGGTGACCCCATAAACATCGACCTTTCTTGGGCACTCACGAATCTCCTGACGGGCTTTGGGTGGCAGCTTTTTGATCACCTCGGGTCACAGATCAGCTCCAGTGACACTTCAATCGGCACCTTTAGCGCTCACTCGATCCCAATGTTCTGAAAAAACGAAACGGCACCGATTCGAGGGTGAAATGAGCGAAAACCATGGTGCAGGTCCTTGGCTGGTGACCCTTGATTTCAGGTTTTTGGAATGATTGTAAATGCGGCAGATCACCTTCTGCAACAAGGGTTTGCACTGGGTGCACTAACCGGGGCATTGCCTGTCATAGCCATAGAAGGACCCAATGACAATGTTGACCGCGGGTACGCGCGCTACTTAGAGTTCCGAATTGGAGGTGTCCTTTTTTAAGGGGGTCTAAAATTGTGTTTCCCTTTGGTTTCCCTTTAGAACCATCAAAAAAGGATCCCCTATGTTGAGAAGCTCCCACATCACGAACTTCGGCAAGTATTTAATTGCAAGTTTGTTCTCAGGCTTTTGTTGTCAAGCGCCAGTTTTCGGAGGCATCATTAGGGGGGGCGATTAGAGAAATCAATGGAAAAATGCTGATGTTCTGTTTCCCCACTTTGGGGCAACCTCAAATGGCGAATCCTCAAACGCGGCTTGAACCATTTGCGCACGCAAACTAGCCTTGGATTGGGCATTCCGGCAACTTCAGCCGCACGATGTGAATTGCTGCACATGTGGCTCAGGTCTCGCGGGAGAGCGTTCCACGTCGGACCCTGTCTCGTATTAGACGAGTGCTGCGCCTAGCTTTTTTGTACGAAGCATATGTCACTTGTGGCTGCAAATTGCTGCGCTTGTGCCAGATGTCCTGCTTCGAACTTACTGTAGCAACTCATGCGACTCGACTTTCGGCTTACCTCAGAGCAACTCTTTTTGCCTGGTGCTTCTGGCTTCTCTCATGGCAGGGACCATCAAGTGCAAAGATGGGCGGATCACCGTCTTCAACAACCAAGGCGCTCTGGGCAAGTTTTAGTCAAGTTTGACCATGAAAAGGACACTGGTATGAGGTTCTTGTCAAAACATGACAGAGCAGAATGCTTGAGGACAGGGGGTTCCTTGTAGCTACTCTGGACCAGTTTTTTTCCGTTGCCAAGGCGCCCTGGTGCTGATGGAAGGCGTGTCGCAGTACCTGCACCCCACTTCTAGCACGAAGACGGCGGGGGTGCTGTCGCTGTGCCTGCGAGCACCAGCGCCAGCCTCCAGGCATGAGGCTGGACGGGAACCCCCGACCCAGCCCTTGAGGGCGTTTTGCGGGTGTTGTGGTTCTTCCAGATGTGGTTCGAAGGTTCCCTTAGGCACTGACACACAGAGTTCCTTGAGGGTGTTTTGCGGGTGTTGTGGTTCGAAGGTTCCCTTAGACACACAGAGTTGCATCAGTCTCCCGGACCCGGGACAGGTGTTGAGACACTCACGTCACGTCAAAAACCCGACAGGTGGACCTTGGTTCCTGGGCGTGCACTTCCACGCAGCAGGCGTGGCTGGCTGCGGCGCGCTGCAAGTTGTGGTGGATGACCCCGGAGTGGGGCAGCGTCCGTGACCCCATCCCCACAGAGACGCAGATGCTTTTGGTGCGCTTAGCCATGGAACCGGAGGCGGAACAAGGCACCTACGTCTTCATTCTGCCCTTGGTTACAGAGCATTTCCGGTCGAGCCTCTCCCAGAACGGCAGCGCCATCATGTTTGCCGCAGAGACAGGTGATGTGGAAACGCAGGCGTCTGAGGTGGATCCGGCCTTGCTGCTGGTGGCTGGAGTTGATCCCTTTGAGACGATCCACCGTGGATTCGCCGCTGCCGCAGAGTTGCCGGGCATGAACTTCATCTTGCGCGGGCAGAAGCCGGTGCCTGCGAGCCTGGGGCTCTTTGGGTGGTGCACCTGGGACGCCTTCATGAACTTGGCGGAGTACCGGAGCAACGTGACGCCCGAAGGCATCCTCGAGGGTGTGAAGGGCTTCGCGGAGGGAGGCGTGCCCGCACGGCGCATCATCATTGACGATGGCTGGCAAACCACCGGGGTCGATGCTCAGACAGAGCGTGAAGTCATCCTGGACCGCACCGAGGCTTGTTCCCCGGCTTGCACCACAGGCTTGGTCAAGATTCCAGTCAGCAGAAGTCAGGCAGAGATCTTGAGCAACAACCCTTGCACGGAGTCTCCTCATCCCATTCCTCCCCCAAGTGGACTGGCCCATGTCCTTTTTGAGAGGCTCTACTCGGCCATAGCCGAGGGGGCGAGGACCGGCAGCAAGCGTTTGGCATGCTACCAGGGTTTGACTCAATGCTTGCCCTCAATGTACCGCAAGACGCTTGCGCGGCAGGGCCCAGATCAGGGCAAGCGCCTGCGGTCATTCCAGGCCAACCGTACCTTTGAGCGTCCCGAAGATGGCATAAGCATGAAGAGCCTGGTGGCCGAGCTCAAGAACGAGCTGAAAGTGCAGAGTGTCTTCTGCTGGCACCATTTGGTGGGCTACTGGTGCGGCCTAGAGCCACTCTCCGACCATTTTGCGGACATGGAGCTTCAGTGCAAAGAGGTGTTCTTCACCAAGGGCATTTCGGGTGTGGAGCCCTCCATGGAATTCAGCACCTTCAAGACGATGCAGGTGGGCATGCCCGCGGGCGAGCGTGGCGCCGCGAAGCTCTACGATGGCCTCCACGGCTTCTTGCAGGACGCGGGGGTCGACGGTGTGAAGGTGGATGGCCAGTCCATCCTTTCACAGGTCGGCCAGGGACAGGGCGGTGGCCCTGCCGTTTCTCGCAAGTACATCTCAGCATTGGAGGCATCTGCTCAGAAGCACTTCGGCTCCGCTTCGGAGGTTATCACCTGCATGTCCCATGCCAATGATGCCTTCTTCAACTACAAGCAGGCTGCTTACTGCCGAGTCAGCGACGACTTCTTCCCAGATGATGCAGCGTCACAAGCATGCCACATTTGTTCATGCGCCTTTAACGGCCTGTTTCTGTCTGAGCTCTTCATTGCTGATTGGGACATGTTCCACAGCAAGCACCCGTCTGGTGAGATGCATGCAGCAGCCCGGGCAATCTCTGGCGGTCCCATCTATGTGTCGGATCGCCCTGGTGAGCATGACTTTGAGCTACTGAAGCAACTGGCCACCCCGGACGGAGAGCTTCTACTATGTGATGGCCCGGCTCGGCCTACCCGAGATTGCCTGTTCCGCGATCCGCAGAAGGACAACAAGACAGTCCTGAAGATCTTCAACACCAACAGCGCCGAGAAGCTGGGTGTCTTGGGCTTGTTTCACATCCAAGGCTCCTCCTGGGATCGCTCGCACAGGCGCTTCGCCATGTTCCAGCACAGGGAGGCGCCACTGCACGCCTTGGCCCGCCCCCGGGATGTGGAGGCGTTCCGCTCAGCTCAGCTGTCCGCTCAGAGTCCCGCGACCGGCGAGTTTGCCGCTTTTCAGCGGTCCAAGTCGGAGATTCTGCTGCTTCCGGACGGGTACCACAGCATCCCGCTGGAGTTGGGGGGGGACTCTGCCACTGCCCAGCGTTTCGAGGTGGTCACCTTCAGCCCCGTCTGGCAGATCCCGGGGCACGTAGACGCGCGGTTCGCGGCCATTGGGTTGGAGGACATGATGAATCCAGGAGGAGCTGTGAAGGACATGCGGGCTCTGCAGGGCTCTGTGGAGGTGGTGGGACGAGGGAGCGGGCACTTCGCCTTCCATGCGGACCCTCCGCCCAGGCGCTGCACTTTGTCCGCAGCGGCACCGGCGGACGCGGCACCGGCGGACGCACCGGAATCGGCCGAATTGGTGGTGAGGACTCGGACCTGCGAGGGCCACTTGAACGGCAACAAGCATGCCACGGAGCATCTCACCTCGCTGCCCCTCCGCTATGTCGTCATTCCGGAGAACTGGACAACGGTGACTTGGGCGCTTCGCTTCGAGTGGTAAGGCCTAAGGCCTGCAAAGAGATGTAAAGGGAGACCGGTGACTTGCGTTTGTACAGGCTATGAATTTTGGACGCGCAAGAGCTGTTGTTGCCCTTACATCAGCTAATCTAGCTGTTTGGTCAATTGGTGTGCATTGCATGTCAGAACAGACCGGCCATTGGTGCCAGACCAAACATCTCTTCTCGCGAAAAGCTGTTGCCGCCTTGTGATTCGCTGGCAGTGGTGGATTGGTTCCCTGCCATGTGCCATGTGCCTTCCCTCGATTTGCCAGAGCCATACGGTGCTTTCACCGCGGCACGATGGCCCGCGCTTGTTGCTCAGGCCATGCTGTTTGCAACCTCAGGCGCAACGTCGCTCGCCTGGTGTTCTTCATGCTGCGCAAGTCTGGGCGGTTTTTGCTTTTCGAAAAAAGGAGACACCATGTCAGCGGGCCACCGTGCCATGCTTCAGACGGCAAGAAGTTAGCAAAGTGCATGTTGCGAAGGTGGGTGGCCCTGTCTTTGTGCTCAACTGAGACGAGTCCAGCTTGATCTGATGGCCGTAGAACTTGCCATTTGAAATAGCAAGGGCATGTTCGAAGCTCTCAGCTTGCCCCAGTTGGACCCTTCCATTTCCTTCCCATGCGAAGCGGCTCGCGCCCTGGCAATCTGAGCTTTTGGGTGCAATTTGTCTGAGCCGAGTATTTTGATTTGTTTTTTTGGGGGCGGCTTGTGCCTTCCGAATGGCCCTGTGATGCTTCCGTCGCATCCGATGCTCGCCGTGTTTTGCACGTGAGACTTGAGGCGGACAAATATCTTTCTGAGAATCTCCATGTGGTACAGGCTAAGGCTGCCTCGCTGGGTTTCCGGCTTAGATTGTTTTGATCCTCTCTGGCATTCTGATTGCAGCAGATGATTGGTTTTCAGGTGGGATATTTGGTCCCCAAATGATACATGACAGAGGCTTGGCAAGTAAATAGAATTAAGAAGTATCATCTTGTCTTTGGTGCATTTGGCTTGGATGTTAAGACTTTGACTGTTTGCCAACTCATGGGTTTTCCATTAAACCACTAAAAGCTAAACTTTTAGCAGGGGAGCACAAAGCAAGCGAGTTGTTATCCTGCTGTGCGGGGCGCTTGCAGTTTGCGATGCGGAGGTTGGAGCCCTACGGGCAAAGGCCAACGCGACGTGGCAGGCGCCGTCTCGACGCGAAGCAGTTGCATTGCCTGTGGCGTGATCGATTCGACTGCGTGCATTCCCACGCGGGTCATACGCTGCTTTGCCCATGGTTCAGGCGAACAGTTTGGAACATGCCAAACATGTTGGGGCGCGAACTTCACCCGAGCCCAGGAATGCGAGCGGGCTATAGCGGGCAGGCTGGGCGACGGCTGAGCTGAATTCGTTTTGTTCAGCTTCCCATGTTTCAGACAAACAAGCAGGGATGCGGGGGAAGCAGGGATGTGCGCATACTTTTGCGGGTAATATTTGGATATTTTAGGTGTCCTTTGCAGAGAGTCCCCGACATCACCGCTTCCCCCGCATCCCCCCTCATTGTTTTCCCAAATGTTGAGACAGACCTTGGCCCTTGAGCTCTCTCTCTCTCTCTCAGCGTTTCGGGGGGAAGAAAGATGTTGCTGTTCATAGGAAAATGCAAGCATCACAGTTGCAGAGCAGTTGGAGTGAGAGGAGTTGGAGTGAGAGGAGTCCCGCAGCTATTTTTCAGCCAGTGCTATCCACTTCCGATTTGCTTTCCCGAGATGGCTCGCATCTGGACTTGGTGGAGCTCCGGGGAGGAGACGTTGACGCCCTTCTTGCAACTCTGCTTGAAAAGCTGGCGAGTGAAGCATCCCGAGTGGCAGGTAGTGGTGCTGGATTCCGCGAACCTCTGGCAGTACTTGACGGCAGACGACTTGCCCAGCACCTTCACGCAGATTCAGAGGGCATCCCTGCAGTCTGACCTGGTTCGTCTTGCGATCCTTGCAAAGTATGGTGGCTGCTATGTGGACATGTCCAGCCTGGCAACACAGCCAACAGCAGAGATGGCATGGGCTCGCATCGGCGAGGGCGCTTGCTTGGTGGGCTTCCGGGCTCCGCATTTCATCCCCGACTTTGTCTCCGCCTGGTTTCTGGCGGCGCCCCAGCAGGAGCCCATCGTGGTGGAGTGGAGCAAGATGTTCAACCATGTGATGGAAGGCCGCGTGGACGACCGGGACATCCACCATCACAGCTTCTTTGAGGGCGTGGATTTGAGCGACTACTTGAGGTACGGTGCTTTGGCCCCCAAGCCAGGACAGGCAGCATCACTGTGGGTTGAGTACCTTGTGGTGAACGTGGTTCTGAAGGCAGTGCTGGACAAGGATCCCTCCCTGAAGCAACGATTCTGGTCGTCTTCTTGCCTTGTGCTTGAGAGCGACCCCAACTTGAGCCCCACGCTCTGGAGCGAGTCGCAAGTGCACCTCATCCCAGAGGATGTCGCCTTCCCAGAGAACGAGAAGCTCAAGATGCAGAATCTGCTGAAGCAAGATCCGGACTTCGCCACACGTCTCATGGACCTGCCGATGGTGAAGTTCTTCAATTCTGGGAGTCCATATGCTCACCTGAGCTCAGAGGAGTTGCTTGCCAGCCCTTCGGTTCTGGGATGCTTGATCCGGAAGGCTTTGGGATATCTGGTGGACGCCTCACAATCCCCAGCTCAATGGCCCCAGCTCCCGGCCTTGAAGGACCTGCCGAATTGGCCGACGTCTTCGACGAGTTCGTCGCCTTTCGCGTGGACGTCGCAGGGGCGCTGGACGCGGCCAGAGGACCTGGCAGCCGAGCGCGTGGCCGTTGCCACCGTGGTGACCGACAGATGCTCCGCGGTGGCAGCGAGATCTCTGGCCAGGAGCCTCACCAAGGCGACGCGCCAGGGCACCGCATACGTCGCGCTGGTTCCGGAGCCGGTGGAACCCGAGCTGTGCCACATGCTGGAAGTTGAGGGCTGGCAGGTGATTCCAGTTCAGCCGCTGGAGTTCATGAGCTTGCACCTCTGGATTTTGCCCTGGGATCGTGTGCTTTACATCGACGCCAATGCCATTGCAGTGGGAGACTTGCAGCAGCTGCTGCTGCTCGGATCTGTCGGCTTTCCTATCTGTCATCCACTGGATGAAATTAGAAAGGATCATTTTTAATCCATGCCTTTGGCTCATGTGGCTCCGGAAGTCCCCCTGCCCTAGGTATTCCCCCGAGATGGAGCCTCCGAAGGATGGTGTCGCCATGAGCCCCGAGTACTGCGCCGCAATGCCTTCAGAGGAGTCCACGGCCGGGGGCACTCCCAAGGCAGGAGTCGCGTGAGCCAACCCGTGTCGTTTCATTTCTTCGGCCTTGCTCGCCAGCCTCAACCTCGGGATCTTGGGGATTTGGGGACATGGGAATGCGTTTTAACCGGCACTGCGAGCGAGTGCCTGGCGCATTGGCGCATCCTTTTTGCGCGACTTGGGCGCGTGCAGGCGAGCAGTTCCTCGAGCGAGCGCTTTGTGGAAGACGCCGTCACGGTGGCGTCTACCAGCATGCTGGACCTGAAGAATTCCGAGGCGATGCTCAAGGTGTCCGGGCTCCGGTCGGGCAGCTACGACAAGGCCCAAGCGGCGGCGGCCTTTAAGGAGAATGGCTACTGCCATGCCGGGGTCGTCCTCTTGAGACCTTCCATTGCCGAGTTCCAGCGGTTGTTGGAGGTGCAGCGCCTGAGCGCTTTTGCCTCGATGGGCGACCTGCTGCACGAGGTGTATACCAAGCGCGGCCTCACCAAGATTTTGCGCAAGGGCTACAACGCGCAGAAGTGGCTGCGCATCTGCGCCCCTGAGCTTTGGCAGACCCTGGATCTCAAGATCATCAGCTTCTGTGGCACCAAGCCATGGCTTCAGATGGGCACCGAGGTCGTTGAGTGCCTAGAGGGCGAGAACTCAGCCTGTCAGGACTTGGTGAGGCTTTGGCACCAGGTCTACAACTGAAGTGGACTCCTTCACAAGTTGAGCCTGAAATGCATGCCGAATTTGGATGGTTTGGCTTATTTTTGTTGTACAGTGCCCGCTGGCAGTTCTGCACCACAGATGCTGGGGAGGTCTGATGTTTACCGCAAACGAGTGGTGCATCCTCCATAGCCAGCCAGTGCGAGCGGTCCCAGCTTCGGGGTGATTGTTTCCTTAATTCATCCAGTGTTCTGCTTTCATTCACATTTTTGGCTGTCCGAGCGACAGTGCAAAGACCAGAAGTCATAGACCGCACGTCTCGGATGTCAAAGTCAAAGTATGCCGAGAGAGCGCTCATACCAGTCCTACCAAGCGGCTTTTCGATGTTGCCTGTCTCAGCTGCTTTGCTCAAAGAGGAATTGAGACCCGACGTGCCTATGAAGTTCATTTCGGCGCTCAGGCGTGCACGGACCTCGCGGCCTTTCGGACACTTTGAGCCAAGAAGACCTCCCTATCCCGGGACAAGTGCGGGCTCCTACCTGGCCATATCCCTCCTCTTGAGCCGTGCGTTTTGGACACTTGGATCAATCCAGGGCAATCCTTGCATCAATGACATGTCGAGCTTTGCATCGCCATTTTGCCTAGTTCTCATGATTTGCCTTTCTCCCGTGACTTCAACGCGGCTACCCTTTTCTTTTTCGCTCGGCTCGGGTCCTTCCAGGACTCGCGCGGCGAGACCCCTGCAGGCAGGCGCGGTGCGGACAGGCTCTGGCTCGTGCCTCGACTTGTATGTTTCAATCCGCAGAGTTTGGCCTACTGTGGACGAAATCCATTTCGCACCACCTAAGAATCCCTGGAATGATGATTTCGTTCATCCACAGTATGTTCAGCTTCCCTCTAATTGGTGGTTTAGAGCCCGCTGGTTTTGTGGTTACGGAGGGGTTCCCTTTCCACAAGAAACCAGAGGTTTACATCCCCAGTTCCCACCAATCCAAACCACCAACCAAGGGAAATTTTATTTTTGTGAGTTTTCCTGTGGGCTTAAATCAAGGCCAAGGCTCTGTTAATATTGTCGTGCGCAAGGCTCTCGAAGCCTGTGGTGGCCAAAAATGTGGTGCAAACCTTTCCCCTTGATCTGCATGTCCCATCCAGATTGGATCCTGTGCTGGCTGGAGCGATCTCCCAGATGTCCTTCTCGCTGCCCACGGGCGCTGTGCTGCCTTTGGTACCTTTGCTGGTGACGCAGCACTTCGACCTCTCAGCCAACCTTTGGGGTGGCTTGGCCCCCGAGTTTTGCCAAAAAAACCAGCCCTGCTCACGCGCATGCGGAAGCGATCCGCGAGCACAGGAGTCCACTGTGCCAAAAAGAAGGCCCCTCTTTGGACTGGTCTCCTTCATTTCCCCGAAAAACTATCCCAAAAAAGGAAGTACTGCGCTTGCGGGTCGACATTTGTTCATTGCAATTCCTCATCGACTCGATGACCTGATTTGTCAATGGAAGACGTGGCGCGGAAGAGTCTTCTCTGAGACGAGTGGGACCCTGAATTGGTTTCCCTTTCAGATTCCAGTTGGTCTTTCTGCCTTTCAAGCAGGCTACGTTCTGGCCATCGATTTGGATGAGAGAGCTTCGTGCGCTTCAGGTGAGCCACAATGAAAACCCGGGTAGATGAAGGTTAGTAAGGGACGATCCCAACCATAAATAGCTGCGGATATCCGCCTTCTTAATCCCTGAAGCATGGTTCTGTGTAGACCGTTTTTTAGTACCAGATTTTGATTGCGCTTCAGGTGTGTTCTGTGCCGTGGAGGGCGTTGCCAAGATCTTTTGTGCGGTGCCTGTCGCCTACTACCTCAACAAATGGGGCCGGAAGCCGCTGCTGGTCTCCTCCCTTTGCGGCTACTCCTTCGTCCCTCAGCGTTGCGCTTGCTTGGGTGTTTCAGCGCGGGCTTCGCGTTGGGGGTCTGTGGCCAAGCAAAAGGCAGATTTCAAAACATGGATTCCAGGCAGCTGGGCAAGTGCGAATCTGTTGAGAAACTTACGCAAGGTCCGTTTGGCCAAATTGGACCGGAGGGCCATTCTTTTAAGGAGGTGTTGTTTTTGTTTTGTTTAGGTGTTTTTTGTTTTTTTGGCTTTGGTGGCTTTTTCTTTGGTTTATCAGTTTTGGTGGCTTTTCATTCGGCTTTTCGCATGCTCTGCTTTCCCACTTGGTTTTTTGGCCTTGGCTTCCCGCATCCTCAGCATCCCCAGACCCCCCCCGCCACCCGCCCGTCTGGATTTGTTTGCAGAGATGTTAATGCGCGGGGCTGCCCCCCCTCCGGCCGCTACTTTTTAAATGATGTACAAAAGTTGAATTGCACCCCGATTTGAATCCTCACTTTTTCAGCCATCATGGGGGGCTGCCATGTATATTTACGTTTATGTATGCATGTATGTATGTAGGTAGGCATGTCGGCATGTAGGTATGTAAGTATGTAGGAATGTACGTATGTAATGTAAGCATGTATGTATGTATGTAGGTATGTAGGTAGGTATGTATGTATATGCGTACGTAATGCAATGTACTGTAATGTAATGCATTGGAATGTAATGTAATGTCTGTATGTGTATGTAATGTCTGTATGTATGTATGTATGTATGTATGTATGTATGTATGTATGTATGTATGTAATGTATGTATGTATGTATGTATGTATGTATGTATGTATGTATGTATGTATGTATGTATGTATGTATGTATGTATGTATGTATGTATGTATGTATGTATGTATGTATGTATGTATGTATGTATGTATGTATGTATGTATGTATGTATGTATGTATGTATGTATGTAATGT